TCTTGCTTTTCTTCTTCTCTCTTTTCTTCCTCTTTCATTCACGGACATACACGCGCACATACGCGGCAAATACACACATAAGCATACACACATTCACCCCTTTCTCACTCTCTTCCTCTCAATCTCTCTTTTCGTTTCTAACCTAATCTATCTGTCTACCGTCTACTCATTCGATTAATTCGCTCGCACTTTCTCGCGTTTACGCGTTTCACTTCCCTACGTGTTCTCGGTTCTAACCGGTCTTTTAAAAAAGCGAAATTGCTCTGCAATCGAAAATCTTATCTTTCGGAAATTTCTTTTTCTTTTTCTTTTTCTTTTTTTTTTCCTTTTCTTTTTCCTTTGTCCAAGGTATAATAGAATAGAAATATAATATATATTTATCATACAAAAAATAAAGCGCTGTTACTTTCTAAATTCCTGGATGGCATTTATTTGTCCCGCTTTTCGCGAATCGCCCTACGTCATATCGCTTCTACATTATCGTGTATTAACACACGAATTCAATTTCCCATGCTACTACTACGTTCGCCGGAATCGTTTCTAATCGTACGTTATATAAGCTTCTTCCTCCCGACAAGTGCCGCGAAATAAAAGAAAATAATCCGGCCGTTTGAGAAACCACACTTTTTACTCATTTAGCACTCAAAATGCTTAAAAAACTTTCTAACGAGTGATAAAGGTTTATAAAATATAATATCTTTTTCCCTTCTCCTATTTTCTACTCTCTTTCTACTATTCCTACGTTATACGTAATTATACATAATTATATTAATACATAAATTTCGAATAATCGAGAAATCTCTTAATAGCTTTCAAACTATCTTCCTAATAAATAAACTTTTCTCAAAAAAACAAAAGAAAAAAAAAAAGAAAATATATAAATCCTAATAATGTAAACTGTTCGATCGTACTAAGGAAATTTCGTGGGAATTAAATTAAAGAAAAAAAAAAAAAAAATAATTCAAGGCAAGCAAGTGAAGTTTCTCGTCGGACCTTAAACGTTAAACGTTAAACGTCGTTAGAAGTATCACACTGGGCGCGTAAATCGCGATCTAATCGCGAGCTACGTAATTATTATCGAAATTCCCCCGGACGAGTCGAAAATTACCGATGATGATCCGTGGTAAAAAACACTAGAATCTGTCCTCCGCTCTTGGATGCATTTCAATGCCAAAATGTGAAATACAAAATGAAAAATATCAAAATATCTTTTTCTCTGTCTTCCCTATAACGATACCGAATCTCTTATATCCTCGATATAATATAAAAATACTTTCAAATTTCAACAATTATTGATAAACCGAGCCATTTACTTTTTTAAACAATCGTACTCTATCCTTATATAGTCACTTAATAAAATCTTCCTTCGAATCAATGTATTATTATTAATTTATTGATATTTTCATTCGTATGAAATTCTAATAAAGTTAGAGAGATACTACTACTTTGGTCGATTTTCTAAATTATGATAATTTGTTATTGAATCATTTTTTTTCTTTTTTTTTTTTTATTGATTTAAAAAGCTAAGAATTAATATTCTTTCGAGAGAAGAATTAATTCAAAAAACGATTGTTTTGATAAAAAATTAACAAAGATTCTTTTAAGTGACTGTACTTTCTTCCACTTGCTTAATATTTTCCGAAACATTGACGATCACAAAATTTCTGCCGGGTCAAAAAGGCCGAATAAATTAATAATAATAATAATAAAAAAAAAAAAAAAAAAAAAAAAAAAAAAAGAACTTATTTATATCTGCTTCGTCGCCGTTCCTTTTAAAGAAATGCCATCTCGATAATTGCAATGCATTACGATAGCATCATTATCATTATTATTATTATTATTACTTTTTAAAATTATTTTTAAATTTACCTTCGGTTAGAGCGTTCCCAATCCCAAACCGACACCCAAAATAAAAAAAAATTCAAGGAAATCTACCTTTGCTCGACGCGATTAGCCAATATTCGTAATGGAAAAAAAAAAAAATTACCTAATTATAAAAAGAAAGATAAAAAAAAAAAAAAAA